AGATAGAAAGTGGAATGGATATTGGACATGCAGAAACAACAGAATTTTTATTCTTTATCATCTTCTCATATCACTTCCACTTTCTAATTGATGGAAGGTGGATTCCTCCCTTTTCAATCTACTTGGATTTTGCTAAGCTCACAAATATTTTTATTAAGTTAGTTACACATGATTCAAAATACTCCCTGCCCTTTCTTGTGGAAAGATGATATCTGCTGCCTCCCAGAAATTCAGTCTTAAGCACATGACTTTTGACAATTAGATATAAGAGGATGTGGCATGTATATCTGATTGACAATGTTTCAGGTATACAGCAAAGTGATTCAGCTACATGTATATATAAATATAAGAATATATGTGTGTGTGTGTGTGTATATATATATATTTCGGATTCTTTTCCATTAAGTTATGACAAGATATTGAATATAGTTCCCTGTGATATATAATAAGTCCTTATTGTTTATCTATTTTATATATATATATATATATATATATATATATAGTAGTGTTACTGTTGTTCAGTAGCTAAGTCATGTCTGACTCTTTGCAACCCCATGGACTGCAGCATGCCAGGCTTCTCTGCCCTTCATTATCTCCTAAAGCTAGCTCAAACTCATGTTCATTGAGTCAGTGATGCTATCTAACCATCCTATCCACTGCCACCATCTTCTCCTCTTGCCCTCAATCTTTCCCAGCATCAGCGTCTTTTCCAATGAGTCAGCTCTTTGCATCAGGTGGCCAAAGTATTGGAGCTTCAGTTACAGCATCAGTCCTTCCAATGAATATTCAGGACTGATTTCTTTTAGGAATAACTGGTTTGATCTCCTTACTGTCCAAGGGACTCTCAAGAGTCTTCTCTAGCACTATAGTTCGAAAGCATCAATTCTTCAGTGCTCAGCCTTCTTGATGGTCCAGTGAGCACATCCATACATGACTACTGGAAAAACCATAGATTTGACAAGATAGACCTTTGATGGCAAAGTAATGTCTCTACTTTTTCGTATGCTGTCTGGGTTTGTCATAGGTTTTCTTCCAAGGAGCAAGTGTCTTTAAATTTCATGGCTACAGTCACCATCTGCAGTGATTATGGAGTCCAAGAAAATAAAATCTGTCAGTTTCCACTTTTTTCCTATTTGCCATAAAATGATGGGACAGGATGCCATGATCTTAGTTTTTTGACTGTTGAGTTTTAAGCCAGATTTTTCACTCTTCTCTTATAGTAGTGTATATCTCTCAATTCCAATCTCCTAATTTATCAGTTTTAAGAGAAGCTGGTCATTCTGCCTTGTTCTTTTTCTGTTCTTCAATGAACCTATGTCCAAAGAGTAGTTGTTGTGCCTGGACACCAGAGTGAGGGCAGGAAGTAGTGTAGCAGACAATCCACAATAGAGAAACAGAAACAGGGTTTGGGGTGTATGATCATAGTGAGGACTCGGTGGACTTTGAACAGGAATTCATGTCCTACTTATGTTTTGTTGGATGTCCTATCCAATCCCAGAGTCTCAGACTCAAATGGCTTTAGAAACTGGACAGGTGATTTCACATTATTCCAAAGCCAGTGGTCATTTTGTTAGGGAGAGATAGTGCCCAAAGAGAAAAGAAATTATATATCCTTGGCTGAAGGCATTCCAATTCAAATGGTTTGTAAAATCTCTACCCAACCAAACCTATCTTCTGGATGAAATCAATCCTAGGATCACCAGATGACCCTCCAGCTACGCCAAGCAGACCTCTCAGTGTGGCCTAAGGTGGGCACTTCCTACAAGCTTATTTCAAAGCAACCAGGCAGGTTCTTTCTGTAGGGAGATCAGTGCTAATGAAGAGCATTGTACCTTTGTACCTTAGTACAAAGAATGGAATTTAAGCCATCCCAGTACAGTTTCATGAATAAAGTTTAATTTTTTTCCATTATTTGCTCTAAGAAAAGAAAAACAAACAAACAGATTTCCTCAAGGAGAGAACACGCCCAAATATCTGCGTTCCTTTCATCCCTGCCATCCTGAAATCCTTGTTTAAAACAACTTAAATCACTAGAGGAGCATTAAAGTCATCTTTAGAGCTAATCTGTTCAGCAATGCCAGAAGAATGCAGACTGAGCAGCAAATCGAAGCAAATTCCCTGGGACCAGAGCTCTTGAAGGGACAGAGGGACTGTTTTCAACATAAAAGGGAATGGAATACATTTGCTCTATTTTCCACTTTTCTGTTCTGAAATATGAGAGACACTTTGAGTGTGTTCCTTAGGCATCCTGAAGAATAAACTATTTCTGGCCCCACAAACCCCTTTCTCTTTGTGGAAATCAGATTCCACCCTCCCAGGGACTTCTCAGAAGAAAATCAAAGCTTTCAACTCCGGAAACATCCAAATAGTGTCCTTTCCTCAGAGTGCGCTGGTAGCTGTGGATATCCAGCCGCATTGTGGGGGTGTGGGTTCATATCCTGCTATTGCTAGGCAGATGACATCACTCTTCTTTTCCATAAAGAGTTGTTCCATATGTGCTGCTTGCTGAGCAAAACACACATATGCGGGGACTGCAGATGAAATATGCATGCGATGTGGGCCCAGGCCAATTTCGTCTCTTAAAGGAAACAGCAACGCTATTTAAGTGGTACCAATAAAATAACATTTTCTCTTCCGAATTTAAAAGCAATTCCCAAGCCTGCATGGAATCAACCTTTTCAAATAGTTCAGGAATCTGTTTTTATGTCCTCTGAAAACAATAGTTTCATGCTTGGGAGTTGCTAGATCTAACAGAAAATAATAGGGCTTCTCTAATTGCTTGTAACCAGCCGGGCACTTAACATTTAATTCTCATCATAAGACTTTTCTAACAATGACATGCTTCCCACTTTAGGAGTTATAAAAATCAAACCAGAGGCTCAGAGGGGTTCAGGAAACTATTTAGAGTATTAATACTAATACTGGGCTTTCATCCCTGGAAATCTGATCGTGAACCTGGAGTTCCTTCCACCCCTGCTCATCAGAAAACAATGAATAGGTGAAAGGCAAATGAGTATTTTTGATAACACATTTTTTAAATAGGATGACTTGCCAAATCTCTTCTCTCTGGAATGCTTCACAATCTGTTCCCTTGATTTTTTTTTTTTTTTTTTTTTTTCATTCTTGAAGGCAGGCTGGAGTAATAGAAACAGGCTCTTGGAGGGCTTTGAAGCACAATAGTATATAAAGACGTGACAGTGACTGCTGTCCTGAAAGCACAAACTAAATCTCCAGCAGGGTTTGATCATCTCTGAGTTTAAGCTGGAAGATAAGAGATTTGTGACCCTGGCAAAGCCATTAATTCTGGCACAGGGGTACTAATACATTTCCTTGTTCTGTCTGCTTTAAGGCTTTTTCCAAGATGCTCGGTGAAAAGAACCACTTCTCTTTCATATATTTTGGGAACTCCAATTGATCTTCTCTGTAGCACCCATCTCTCCTCCCCTACCTTTCTACATCTTCCTAGGTGACAAATGGATGGAAGGATTGGCTTCTTGGCCCTTTAGCAGCCGAATAACAATTGTTTCCCATCTCTTTCTTTTCTTCCCAACTCCTCCCTTTATCCCCATCCTGGGAAGTTAAGTTTCTTCCAGTGAGGTCTTCCCCTGTAATCCCAGAGGCCTCTTCTTTTCAGTCCATCTACAGTCATTAACAAATTGAAAATTTCTCCAGAGCTTAAAGTTTGACTCTCTGGAGCTGGGAACAGATAGTGCTAATGATAAAAACAAAACAAAACAGCCTCCCCGCCCACCCAAACAGCTGTCGCCAATCACACTCTCCAATCCTCAGGGAGATCTGTTGGGTTTTCTAGAGTGAAGGATCAATCTCAAGTTGCCCTGGCAACAGTAACAGCTTTGAGAACATCCTCCTGGGCTGTTTGGATGCACAGAGAGGAAAAAGCAGGGTGGGGAACAAAGGTTTGTTCCCCATGTTTTGAGAAGTCCCTGCACAGCAGTTCACTGGGTTCACCATGAGGAGTACTTGTGGATCTCACAGCATGAAGAGGGTCTGCTGTGATGAGATGATTTCACTTAAGAGGCCCTTGAAATATGCATGCACATCCTAAAAGTTTTCAAGAATGTTTATCAGGAGCCAAATTTCCAGGGGGAGTTGGAAATCAATTCTTCAATAGCAAACTCCACCCCTGTCAGTTGCTCAGATCCACACCCCTCTTTCTAGGTGGGAAAATGAAAGAATCTCCTGAAATCCACATTGGGAGAGTCAGATGTGGTTGTCAGTGAAGACAAGAAGGCAGGGTTGTCCACCCCCCACCCCACACACCCTCATTGATTCCAGCTTTAGCTCTTTGCAAGTTTATTTTTAAAAATGTGGATGCTCCATTTTCAGAGAGTGATCTAAAAATATACTCCTGCGTGCCTGTGGCTGTGATGTGTATATAAATCCAAAACCTCAGAATTGAGTGGATTACACTGAGAAGCACAGATAGACCAAAAAGCAGAACAGGATGATTCCTTCTACCTTCTGTGTCAGGAGGCGGCTTTCAGGGCATTAAGCACATCAAATGTTGTCAGAGTTGATTTCATGAATAGGTTTCTGTGTAGAGTAACTTAAAGGACATGGGAGAAGACTGTTTTCCAGGTGCGATCCCATATTGCCCTTCTTCTCTGCCTAAAATGACATTTTTGATAAAACTGAAATTGTAAGAATAAAAGCCAACATTAAGAGTGTTCTATGTACTGGTGTGTGTCACACCCACCACCCCGAGATGGCTCTTCTCTCACTCTCTGTACATCTCTTGCTGGACCAATGCTTGCTTCACCTCCACCTTACTCGCACCACTGACCTTCCTACTTACCTGCCTCCACCCCAGTTAGTGATTGTTCTAACCTTTAGGTCTAACCTTTAGATCGGAACATCCCCACCTGATGGCTGATCAAAGGGGTAGTGAGAGGCGTGCTCCTCAGCCAGTTTCCCTGGTAACCAATGAGCCAACCTGATGTCAATTCCCCCTATAACTGGTGACCTCCGCCTCCCTCCAGAGCTGCTCTGTCCTGCCTGCTGCCTGCCTGGTACCATAGAGTCTTGTTGCTGTGTGGCTGGGGCGGGAGCTCTCACGTCTCGGGGCCTGCAGGCGTCCTGAAGATGGACTGACCGCCAAGTGAGGGTTGTTGGCTTCTCGACAGGGGGAAGGAATTCAAAGAGCCAGCCAAGGAAAAGCGAAGGTGAGTTTCTTTAGAGGGATACACCTTCCTTAGGTAGAACATGGACTGTCTCTGAAACTGAAAGCGGGCCCTGAAACTGATAGCGGGTTTTGTAGGCTAAGTAATTGCACACACTAATGAGTGGGAGGAATATTCTTGCTATTTTGGGGAACAGTGTTTCTGAAAAAAAAAAAAAAAAGAATGGGGCCACTGCCAACTTCTTGACTTTTTATGGTCCCTCTCGGAACTGCTGTGGCATAAGAACCAGGTGTGTGTGTGGGGTGGGGGTGATGTTTGCTGTTGCAGTGGAGATATCCTGAGTGTCACTGACCCTGCTGCTCTTCCCAAATCCACCTTGGTTTCGGCTGGTTCAGGCTGGTTTTGCTCGCATCCCTATAGCTGTGCCTTTCCTCAATTACCTAGCGTTTGTGTCTTGCTCCTTTCCCTCCTGTCTCAGCTCCAGGGCCTTGCTTCGAGGTGTAAGATCCCCCATCCATGAAACCACTGAGGTCTATTGCTAACTCTGGGCTCTTTCTTTGGCCTTGAGGATGGGCAAGGACAGGGCCTATGGGCCTGCTGGGTGCAGCCCCAAAATTGCTGGAGCAGCCAGGAGACCAGGGAAACTCCTGAGAGCCCCGAGATGTCTGGAAATAAGGACAAGGAATGGAAAGTTCACAGGAGCTGTCCACTTAACGTGGGGCTCAGGAGTCACTGGGTGTAATTCTGAAGGTTATGGAGGACTCCTGCGGTGGCTGACCTCTCTTGGGGGCCACCAGGACAGATGAAGGACTCATAGGCACCCCTAATTCTGTTGTAGAGAGAGGGACTGCCATTGCCAAGGGAAAAAGTGTTAGATAATACAGCATTGGCCACAGCTGTGGGCTGGTGGTTGCTTTTCATATTAATAAAGGCCACAGAGGCCAAGTTAAAAGCTGAAGTGAAGGTTAACTTAAATGCTGATTCACGTGCCTCTGGAAGTGAGGCAGGTGCGTCTGACTGAATGATATGTATTATGGTCACTCTTACTTTTTACACCAAATTAGCTATTTAGAAACTGTTAAAAAAAAGTCCCTGAAAATGTCTGAAATGGGAATCTTTTGACTTTATAAGACAGGTTTCTGCCTATGAGCTTAGAGGAAGTTAACTTTCTAGAAGGAATGTATATTCCTCTTCCTGTGTTTTTGAGAGAGAAATAATCTATCTGGGTTCTTAGGAACTTTAATGCTTGAGAGCAAAAGGAAAAAAAAGAAAAAAAGGAGCCTTAAATTCTAGCAAGAAAACGGAGATCCTTGTTCCTGTATAGGTATATGTATGTGTTTGCCAACAAAGGTCTGTCTAGTCAAAGCTATGGTTTTTCTGATAGTCATGTATGAATGTGAGAGCTGGACTATAAAGCTGAGCACCAAAGAATTGATGCTTTGAACTGTGGTGTTGGAGAAGACTCTTGAGAGTCCCTTGGACTGCAAGGAGATCCAACCAGTCCATCCTAAAGGAGATCTGTCCTGGGTGTTCATTGGAGGCACTGATGTTGAAGCTGAAATTCCAGTACTTTGGCCACCTCATGTGAAGGACTGACTCATTGGAAAAGACCCTGATGCTGGGAAAGATTGAAGGCGGGAGGAGAAGGGGATGACAGAAGATGAGATAGTTGGATGGTATCACCAACTCTATGGACATGAGTTTGTGTAGGTTCTGGGAGCTGGTGATGGACAGGGAGGCCTGGCGTGCTGCAGTCCATGAGGTCTCAAAGAGTCGGACACGACTGAGCAAGTGAACTGATGTGTCTTATAAATATGAAATGTCTCTGCCTGCAAATGGCATTGCCAAGATTGGTTTGTGGATGCACTCTGTTTAATTGGCTTAAATGAAATCACACACACACATGAATTCTCAGGAAGCTTCAAAATTTGCCCACATCCTGGTGAATGACTGTTCTTAGCATAATAGCTATCTTACTCACTCTGGATACTTTTCAGCTGCTGGTATCTGTATTGTTTGTTGTATCTGGTTGCCTCCATGTACTTGACCCCAGGGATATCATGGGATAGGGGCAGACCAAGATTGTAAAGATCATGTGGGGTATATAGAGGTGGAGTATATGATCAGGCTACCCAAAATGGCTATTCTTTTGCTCTCTGGACACCCTCTGTCAGAACAGTGCCTGCTTTACCTACACCCTACTCTCATGACTGACCTTCCTACATATGTGCCCCCACCCAAGCTAGTGACTACTCTAACATTTAGATCAGAGCATCTCCACCAGCCTACTGATCAAAGAGGTGGTGAGGGGTGGGCCCGTCTGCTGGTTTCCCTGGTAACTGATGAGCCAACCTGATGCCAATTCCCCCGGTAACTGGTAACCACCTCCTCTCTACTCCTGGGAGCAAAGACTGCCGCCATGTCTGGAAGATACACACATATATAATCTATATCCTTTAATATAATGGAATATTACTCAGCCTTAAATAGGAAGCTCTATCACTTAGCAGGTATTATGCTAAGTGAAATAAACCAGACACAGAAAGACAAATTTTGCATATCTCATATGTGGAATCTAAAATAGCCATACTCATAGAATCAGAGTGAAAGGGTAATTGGAAGAGGCAAGTAGATGGAGGAAATGAGATTTTGGTCATAGTATCCAAAAAAGTTGGTAAGTTTGGAAATCTAAGGTATAGCATGGTGACTGTAAAATGATACTGTATTTTATACTTCAAATGTGACAAAAGAGTGAATCTTATGTGTTCTCACCACACATACAAAAAGTAATAACTATGAAGTGATGCTTATGTTTATTAGCTTTATTGTGATAATCATTTCATGATATATAGATATATGAAAACATCACATTGTATACCTTAAATAAATACAATTTTTGTCAATTTAACCATAAGAAAGCTAGGGAAAAAGCTTGGATGTGAGTTGGGCCTGGGTAACATTAACTCTGGTGCTTGAGATAATAATAGAGATTGAGAGAAGCACAGTTGTGTAGCTACCAAAATATAGTATGAAGGCTCTGAGAAGAGAGGAAGGAGGGTTTAAGGATTGGTAAAGTGCAGTAGTTTGCAAGCTTATTTTGTAAAGAGATAGTAAAAAGTTTCCACCCTACAGACCTATGGTCTCTGTCGCAACTACTCAACTTTGCTGTCATAGCACAGAATTCCCCATAGAGACAGCAAGTGAGAGAATGATCATGGTTGTGTTTCTGTGTAATTTTTATTTATGGAGACTGTAAAATAATTTTCATATATCATGAAATACATTCCTCTTTTTTTCCCAACTATTCAAAATGTAGGGGACTTCCCTGACAGTCTGGTGGTTAAGACCTGGCCTTCAAATGCAGTGCATGCGGATTCAATCCCTGGTCTTAGAGCTGAGATGTGACATGTCTCTCAGACAAAAAACCAGAACATAAAATAGAAGCAATATTGTACCAAATTCGATAAAGGCTTTGAGAGTAGTCCACATCAAAAAATCTTTAGATCACAAGCCAAAAAAGAACGGGATCAAAATATAATAACCATTTGTAACATGGGCCATAGGAAAAAACACAGCAAGCCAAGTTTCACCCGTGAGCTATAGTTTGTCCACCCCTAGCATAGGGCGTGGAAAACCCGCAGAGGATTTGTCCTTACAGGGAGAGACTACCCAGGCCTACAGTGGAGACCTCACCTTTCAGGATCCAGTCAATTTCCAGGTACTTTGGAAAGAAAGTATATGTATTTTTGGTGCCACTTGTAAGTGCCAGGGCCTGAGCTGGCAGTTTATATACTTCAACTTAGCTTAGCCTCTCCTAGGAAGTGATATTACTCATTGTTTATCTTACAGCTGAAAAAGCCTTTCTCTGCATCACAACACAGCCAGTAAATGAGGGGACCTGTGATCAACAGTGGTGACTGGCTCCAAAACCCTTTATCTGTCCACTGTTCTACACTGCCTAGCAGGACCAGAACTTGATCCAGGCAGGCCCTGACTGAATACAGTAATTCATTTTTGTCTCAGTGGCATGACAGAAGAATAATACCTTGGAGGTTGTGACTACCTAGTAATTTTTCATCCAACTCCCTTATTTTACTGGACAAGTAGATGGCTTACCAATGCTAGATTTGAGGTGAGATGTGATGATGAAAAATAAAAATAGACTCTAAGGCCCAACTAGGGGTAATTTTGCCCTCTAGGGGACAATCCATTATATCTAGAGATATTAATATATTTGGTTGCCACAAGTAGGGAAGGAGGTGCTGCTGGAATCTAGCAGATAACAGCTAGAGGTGCTTCAAGATATTATACAAGGCATAGGAAGAACCTTACAGAAAAATAACTATCTGACCCCAAATATGAGTAATGCTGCTGTTGAGAAATATCACTCTAAAGGTTCAGTATTTCTGCCATCCTGAAGGCTCAACTCTCACCAAATCAAATTTCTACTTTTAAAAAAGATAATTTATATGATCTGTGAGATAGCATATAACCATTTTAGGATGCTCTTCTCCTTCCCCATCCTGAAATACACCCCAACCAATTACCAAGATCTATGATCTAGCCACACTTGATTGCTTGAATTTCCCTGAAAATCCTACTGATTTTCTGCCTCTTCACTTTTGCTCAGGTTTCCTCTCTGCCTGGGAACATCCTTCCACCCTATTCTCATTTATCAACGTTCTTCTCATTTTCCCAAATCTAACTCAGATTTCACCTCCTCTTTCAAGCCATTCATTGGATGTTCCTCTCTGACACCCCCAAAGCACTAATGCGAAGGCAGTAAATAGAATCTAAACTTGTGCACTACTGGTTTTTCCCACTTGAACCCCCAACACTAGTCACCATCAATATGTTTCTGAGTTCATAGGTGTCTCTGATTTTATCTGTTACCTCTTTTGCTTAGCATCATGCCAGGCACTGGGCTCTGGATAAATCAGGGATGTAAAGTTTAATACCATTTGTTTAGAACAATGAAGATAAAGGCAAAGAAGACTAGACACTAATTCAAGAAACAAACTATCATATGCTTTAGCATTTCC